ATCGACAACAAATCTGCATTGAGTCAACGGTTGCAACGGCAAACTGGGAGATCAAACATGCTTGATCATACCTGTTCGATCGCACAAGTTCGCGCGCCGTCAAAGCTGCATATTCCGATTGGGAGTTTTAAATAGAGAAACTTTGAGCTTATTTCACAAAACATATTTCAATATTTAAATGTCTTAGTGTCTGGTCTTCAGAGAATATTTATTTTGCTTCTCACCCTGAACGCTATATTTATCTTTCTGTCTGTCTCATGTTAAAGGAGTGTGCGTGTGGCAGTGCCACGCTGGCGACTGCGTTCCCAAAAATTTGTCTCATCAAAAGTCCTTAAGATAAACTTTTTTCAATTAATTTTTGTATGTGTGCTGCCAACGACATTTCTTTGTGCCACGCACATGCACACGCATATTTATGTGGCTGCCACAACAACAGAAGCAACAGGAGCGAAGCCAAAGGGAGAGAGAGAGAGCGAGACAGAGATCCGTTATGTGTTTTCACGTATTTTCCTTAACGGATTTTCACTTGTCTCACTCTTTGAGGAGCAAACTTGTCGTAGATCCCTGCCCCACGCATTGTCAAGCGCACTCACACACAGCCAGACAGACACAGACGCAGAAGCAGACAATGAACAGAGACAGACAGATAAAAGAGAGGGGTAGAGTGGGGTGCATGAAGAGAAAGTAATGTGGAAAAATGGGTGGGTGGGGTTCGGCATGGCAGCAACAGCGCGTAAAAATGTACAAGACACACCACACTCTTGAGTGCAGATAGCCCTGGGTTTTTATTTATTTAACATTAAATGATCGAAGCTAGGGATATCCTGTAATGCTGACTATAGAGAAAATACCGTACAAACATAAATAAATAAGAGTTTTCTTAACAAAAAATACTTAAGAGGCGGCAAGAAACTACCATGAAAATTGGGGTAAAAAAGGCACACAGTTTTTGTATTAATTGTAAAGGAAAAATTATGAATTAATATTTGAAATTCAGATGTTCAAACAGGGAAACAAAAACCTTTGCCTTCGATTCATTTTGGTGATGCTATAATAATGATGCAATTTTAACGATAACCATGAATTATAATTGATCTGATCATTATCAATGTTTCCACATTCCAAAAAGCTGTCCATATATACCCCTTCGCTGCATGGCCTGCTGGGCATAAAAAGAATAAGAAGGCACCGAAATATTTATTAAGGACACACACACACACAGACACACACATACGTATACTGTGTGGTGGGGTGGCGTAGGATATGCATTTACCATGTTAAGTAATTCCTTAAACAAGACAACAGGTCGCCCGGTTCCGGCCCTTGTCCCTGTAAGACTCTTCTTCGGGCTGTAGCTGACGCTGAGTGGCAGCCACACACAGACATGCACACACACACACACACACACACACACAGCCACAAATTGAATTTAATGCTTTTTCTGCTGCAAACAAATCAAGGACACAGAGAAGACAGTCAGAAGGAGGAGAGGAGTGTAGGTCGCGGCACAAATAAATACCCAAAAAAGTGTACATAAATTTAAATTATTTTTGCCTCCTCTTTTTGGTTGCTTTCATTTATGCTTTTGCTTTTTATTTTATTATGCTTGGGCCATGCCGCATGCCACCACCTCAAAGAGGCATTCGTTTTGTCAAGGCATTTGACTATGGCCAGACGTCTTGTGGCACACTTTTGGAACACACTGTGCGAGTGTGTATCAGTATCTGCGGGGGCATCTTCAGCTGTCTCTTGGCGAACTATGTGGACACACGCAGACAGAAACAAAGATACAGATACAGATACAGATACAGTTACAGATACAGATACAGTTACAGAGACAGCTACAGGATACACACTCTCATTCTGTGGCAAGAGACGTCCTTGGGTCGCTGAGCGTAAGGCAACGTTAACTGGGATTTGACAGCTCGTAAATAATATTTCGCTTGTTTGTTGCCTCTGAAACGACACAAGATAGAGAGTGGGAGAGAGTGAGCGGGGGAGCAACGTCTTACACAAGGCCAAAAACGTTGGAGACAGTGGGCTAAAAAAGGGGAAGACACTGGGCTAGAAAAGGGTGAAAAGGGGAATGTAAATTGGTAGAAAAAGGGAATAAAAACTGGTAGAAAAAAAGTAGAGAATCATATATAGAATGATCATAGCTACCAGAAGGAATACAAAAAGTGTCTTCTTGGCTCATTGAACTCCTTGGCTCCTTCTGTATTTCCTGTTTTTGATTGGTTTTCCATGAGTTTAGGTGTAATTTTTGACTATTTTGTGCATGGAAAGCCATCATGGAGGTACGTTCTCCTTTTTTGAATGCCTTAGCCTAGTGTGTATATCGTTTTGAACCACTGTGCCGACTCATTCGACATGTCAGCCATGTGAAAAGGAGAAACGCATTTTATTTTTTAAGCTTTTCACCCGCTTTCTCCTGCTTGCTACTTCTTTTTTTGCTGCTGCTTGTTAAACAATCTCTCTACATGACATATGTATGAGCGTGTGTGGGAGTGAAGCTGAAGAAAATGAAGAAACAGAAAAGGAAGAAGGAGCAGGAGGAGCAGGAGGAGCAGTCGCTGAAACTGCGTTGGAGTCGCTGCGCCCTCACACTGATTTTCAGGCACTCTCATTATACGGATATCTGAAATGAAAAGCAGAAGTCGCTTTCCCTTACCACTCACACACATACACATACTTCTGCCCCGTTCGGTGCTTATTAAATTTTCATAAGGCGCTTCCAGCGGAGCTCGTAAAAATTTCACTCGCTTTTGGTAGCTTTTAAGCGGCAAGTGGATTAAAATTAAAGCACTGCCACTGCCAAAATACATACTTCAAAGGCAAATGCCGGTCGTAATTAAAGCCAGAAACGAAACGAAACGAAATGAAATGAACGGCATGAAAACTGTCCCACAATTCGATTGCCAAAAAGTGAATTAAAAACCCGGAACTTGGATCCCGTAAAGACAGGAAGGAAGCAGCGGAGGAAGAGAGCTAGAAATTCTAGGGGGAGGGAGGGAGGCTACAACAAATTCTGGACTAAGAGAGGGAGGCTACAACAAATTCTGGACGGAGAGAGGGAGGCTACAACAAATTCCAAAAAGAGAGAGAGAGAGAGAGTCAGAGCTGAAGAGTGGAAAACCGCAGAGGCCAGAACAAGCAGCAGATAGGAGTAGGAGAAAGGCAGCAGAAGGTTGGAGCCATTTTGCAGGGGCACCCGCAGGACTCGCTCAACTGTAAGAAGATGATGGCGCTGACGAGGACGAAGGATGAACCTTTCCCAGAACGACGACGCCGAATGAGAGATAGCGCCACGAAGGTCGCACACACAGACACAGACACAGACACAGACACACATATGGCAAGGTACAGGAGCGCTGTGTCTGTGTGGGCGTGGCACCCTGTGGCAGTGCTGTGAAATTTGAAGCAGATTGTGTGTGTGTGTGTGTGTGTGAGTGTGCCACCATCGTGCAATGTAAACCAGAAAACGTAGCCGATAAAAATAATACGAGAGGGCAATTTCGATTTATTGACAGGTGCTCGACTTTATTGAAACGTTTAACGTTTGAAAAAAATAAAAAGAAACCCCACAGAAAGGAAAGAAAATGGTAGCATGTCCCCTTGATGTGTGTGTGTGTGTGTGTGTGTGTGTGTGTCGAGAGGCATTTCTATGGAAAATGTGTGCAAAACGATAAAAATTATGTGAACTTCGTTTTGATTTATCGCTGGAAAATGCAAGAAAATCGGCGAAAAGATATCCCGTAGCTGCTGTCTCTCTATCCATAAATAGTGCCCGAAAGGCAGGCCAATTAGCCAAACTTCCAGCTTGTTTTAGCTGATTTTCGTAGATTTATGAGCCAAATTAAATTACAATTTCCATCTGGCGGATGAGCAGGGACATCCTCTAACGTCTAAGGACACACGCACTATTCCTGGTCATTCCAATGTGCATTTAATTTTGTGTGCCCCAAGTCTCGCTCACGTACATCCATCAATGCTTTCGGAGGCATTATTTAATAATGAAAATTGAATAGTCCTCTAATTCAACCTGATGACAAAGTGGATACCAGGCAGACAGCCAGCAGGTGCCTCACATATGTATGCGACACGTGCCGCACGGACACACACACACACGGACACACGGACACACGGACACAGGGTTGGGTTGGGTTGAGGGGTTGGTCACCCTCCACTCAATTGTGGTTTTCCGTTTCCGCATAATTTTTGGCCCAAGCGGAAGACTTCTGAGAAGAAGCCGCCGCGTCGCTGCGCTAACAAAACATTTGTTAAAACGGAAGGAAGGAAGGACAAACGACAAAACGCAGGACACAAAAGGCGCACACAAAGATAGACAAACGCCCAGGTAAACTAGCCACGCAGGGGCGGAGCGGGGTAGCAGATACACACAGGCTCTATGGGCGGCAGCATCTCTTAAGCTAACATAATTTGGTGGCCCGAAACTCGAATTCCAAGGCGAAGGAGCAGCAGGCCAAAGCGGGCACGTCCGCAGCCACCAAGTTCCACTTCATTTTCAGGGGCAAGCAAAGAGTGGCAGGAGAGGCAGACAGGAAGCAGGAGGTAGAAAAAAAAAAGGTTGCATGTGATTTGTGTCAGCGCAGGCGGAGAAGCAGTCGCTCGCACTGCTCCCGGACTATATATTATAGCACCAGGCGACAGTTACAACAATAAAACATTTCGGATGTCGCTTGTCCTGCCGCTGATCCTTGGGAGCCTGAGGCACTGCCTGCCAGCCAGCCACAGGCGGCACCTGACTACCGGCTAAAGGGCTGCCTGGCTGTCTGACGGACGACGACGAGCATGTAATGAACGATGCCTGGAGGCATTTTCTTGTTATTTTTTCATGGCATTATCCTTGTAGTTAATGTGTGTGGGGTGGGGGGCAGGCCGAGAGCACACGCACTTCCTCTGCGATGCTCCCAAAGGAACTGTGGAGCAAAGTAGGCTTTCCGGCTGAAGTTTCGCTCTGAAAGGGCATATTCTCATTCTCATTTAAACTGTCACCCAAAAACGAAACAATGTTTCGCCTTTGCTGTACGAATTTTTCGCTGATTTCTCGCCGTAATATTGGCCTGTCGGCCGCAAGGCGCTACAAGGATCCCATCTATGAGATCTTTTTGGATAAAGTGCGCGAGTATCGCCTGAAGAGTCCCACAGGAAAGGCTCTCGATGCGGGTCCGGAGTTTGAGCAGGAGCTAAATGAGACTTTGGAGCGTTTGGCATTGAAATTCGGTGGCGGGGATGGCGTGGATATGTTGGAGTTTCCCAAATTCAAGGAGCCTGAGGTAACACTAGATCCTCTGTCCATTTTTGCCAAGTAAGTTGAGGGTTTAGAGCCGCTAAAGTGGAGTGGAAATGTATGGGAATATATTCCATTAGGCCCAAAGAAGAGACAGAGAAAAGCGAGGAGTCAAAGGAAGTGAAGAATGGAGGCAAAGAACAGGAAAATACGGCAAAAGATCAGCAGAAAACCAAGGAAACAAAAGGGAAAGATCAGCAGAAAGCAAAGGACACAAAGGCCGAAGCAAAGGACATAAAGGCCAAGGACACAAACCCCAAAGATGACAAGAAAAAGTAGATAAGGAAACTGCCAATTTCCTTAGTGTTCAATTTTCGTTGCTGTTATTTTGTAATCAAAATTTCAATTAAATTGTTCCACTGTGGCTGCTCGGCAGACGAATGGCAAAGATAATGCTGCACGCAATGATGTCCTTTTATCCTTCATCAGCATCCCTCATCTCTCGCTCAGCTTTTCGCTCCCTTTTCGGCTGGGGCTTTTGGCTTCGTGGTTGACTTGCACATATCTGCATTACGCATACGCACTGTGTGCGGCATGCCGTCTGCAGGTGAAAAGGAAGGAAAGAAAGGGCTTTCCTGCCCGCGTGCATCTCATACGGAAGTGACAATGAGAATGCATTTAAAATTCATTAATTGAACGCACTTTTCAGCCTCGCCTCTCCACTTTGTCTGCTGTAATTGTAAGGCGTCCTGTTGACTTTTCCTTGAATGCCAAAAGAACCGCAGAGAGAGAGAGCCACAGAGAGAGAGAGGCCCCGAAAAACTTTACTTCACACTGCATAAATTAATTGAGTCTTCGTCTTCAAACAACAGACTGAAGACTGCCTGCCTGGCGCGTCTGCGGCTTGGCTTTCTCCCTGCTCTCAGCGTCCTGCGTGTCCTGTGTGTGTATGTGCCTCGATCGAGTCGTCTCTGTGGTTTACCGCACTATCAAAAACTTTTGCTTTTCGGGGCAGCTCTCCCACTCGAGGCTAATGCATTTTTCAGTTTCTGGCGCTTGGCGCATCTGCCGCTCGTCTCTACAGTGATGCAATCGAATTAAAATTTATGACAAAACCATTAACAAAGTTGCCAGTTCGTTGGCATGGCCATTGGCAGGCAGTCAGGCGACCGACCAGACCAAACCAAAGACCAGACGGAAGAAAGAAAACTGGAAAAGTTTTGCATGTGACCTGCCGGAAAAGTCAGTGGCTGCCAGTAGCTAAAACTTTCCAAATTAATTGATGGCCGCAACGATTTAAGCGTTTGGCCAAGAGGTGAAGGTACAGGTGAAATGCAGGTTAAATATGGGTTGCAATTTCGTATGACTAGGGGAAGTTTTTGGATATTTCCGAGGCAGATTTTGGCAGCAAGTTGGGGCAAAGGAAGTGTAGAATGGGATGCAAGTGGAGCTACTTTTCGGTCACTTTTTGATACAAATTTCAATGGAAATTGTTTGGAGAATATCACGGATTTGCTTTCCAAGAAAAGTCGGACACAAAAATGTAGCAAAATAAAAACATCTTCCGCTTAAACATTCATAAAAGTTGAAATACAAAATGTTGCGTAATAATACGGCGAAATATTCCATTTTCCTTGCAAATACATTTTCACATTAATTTTCTGGATAATTCCAGCAGCAGCATTTCCATGGAACTGTTTTGGAGCCATCTCGTTGTGGCAAATAAATGTTTAATGCGCCTCCCCTGGCTTGCTTCGTTCTTGCCATCGTTGCCATTGGAGTATTTGCGCATACCACAAATGTCTTTTGGGCCAAGTGGCCGGCCGGATGGCCAGCCGGACAATGGCCCCCAGGGCCTTAGACGACGACTGTCGACTGGTAGACCAAAGCAAACTGCTGCTCAGACATCTTGCGATCCTTGAAAGATGCAGAGGGGGAGAAAGAGAGAGAGAGAGAGAGAGGCGCTTTCGTTTTGGTCTGTTCGTGGCGATAAAACGCTTCAATGTTCACTTATTGGCTGGGCGTGAGGAATTTTTATATTAATTTATGGCTCTGACACCGGGAAATGAAGGGAGCCAAGAAAAAGGTGGGAACGAGAACGGGAACGGGAGCCGAGTGGGCGGCAAGCGGCTGCCTTTTAAATTATGAATTGAATTGGAACTGGTGGAAAACTGTGAAAGAGAAATCAGCTAGGCAGTCCAGGTTTTCGCACAGGTTTCACTCCTGAAGTTATTTCCATTGAAGGCCCAGGCCGGCCCAGTGCTTCTGCGGCCTGTTTCCTGCGGAAAAGTTGTTTTATTTTTCATTCAATTTCTCTGTTCTTTCTGCCGGATTCGGTTTTAATGGCTTTTTAAATGCCAACTGATAAATGGCCAGGCCAGGCCAGGCAGCATGACAAATGAGATTTCCGACTCGACGCTCCTGCCTCTGCCATAAAGTGTTCCACGGTGGATCGTATTTCCTTTTTATATTTTATTTCTTTATTTATTTACATTCTTGACGCTACGCAGCGGATTATTAACTTATATGGAAAGCAAGCAGCTCTCATTAATAATTTGCTTATAAAGTGAAATGGCAAAAGGGAAAGCAGACACACACACACACACACACACGCAGAGCTCGCTGCGTCAAAGATTAAACAAAAGATTTTTCATGACAATATATTTTATATGCGCGATACTCAAGGGGTATTTCGGGGTGTGATGAACGTGTGTGTGGAACTGGCTGAAGGAAGCGTTTGCTGCTCATTAAATCATGATTAAAATTGATACATAAATGCAGAATGGCAAATCATTTTCATAATTATTATAATAATGACACTTCTGGACTCGATCAGAAGATTAATTAAAGCACCTCAAATATTATTTTGGCTGTTTGAACACCTGACTTTCGACTACAATTTATGGCCAGAGCAATCCAATGCTGATACAAATTTATTACAGCGTATCTGAGTGTCCCAAAACAGTTCGACGGGGAATGTTACGCATAGCCGTGCACGGGCACGTTGCGGAGAGTTCGGGCGAAATTAAATGACAAAAAATAACAAGTTCCCAGTCATCTCTCAAGGTTTGCCCCACTGGGAAATGGAATGTGGTGTGGTGTGGTGTGTGCATGGGATGGCGGCTAAGGGTCTCAGGACACACAAACAGAGAGAGACTTTTCGCGTAATTTCACGTATTTTGTGCAAATACACTCGAATATGCCACACAGAGGAGCAGCAACAAACAGACAAACAAAAACTGTTTTCTTTTACTCCTGGCAAAATCTATCTCTTTCTTTCTCTCTATCTACGCTTTCTCTCCTTCTTCCACTGCTTTCTATGGGAAAATGTTGGGGTCATGGGCGGGCGGGCTTACTCTCTCTCTGTTTTGTCAGTTTTTCCATAAAATTAAATTTTATTTATTCATACATTAAGAATGAATACAATATGAATACGTGCGTCTGTCTGTCAGGCGATGCGCCAGTGGTAAGCAGCGAACACAGGCTGTGGGCTAGAGGAATGTTTCTTTTAGTCCTAAAAATTTTGAAATTTCTAGACACATATTTCGAAATGCAGTTAATCTCAACTAATTGGCTCCAAACACTCGACTCACCATTTTCTGGTGCACAGTTTGCCAGCTTGTTTATCTGTAAACAAAATACCAGCAGTAAAAGAAAAGTGCAATATCATTTATATTTGTTTTGGGATGTGGAAGCAAGCAAAGCATCATCCTTTGGCAGCAGTAGCAGCAGCAGCAGCACATCCTTGGCCAATGGACAAACAATGAGGCAGCACTTTCAATAAGTCAAGAGACGAGCAGGGAAGTGGTTCTCTCTCTCTCTCTAAATGGATTAAAAAGCAATGCCGGAAACTAAATTGAATCTAAGGCAAGCCCAAGCAAAAAAGGTTTGTTGCCTGCCCCATTTAAAATTTTACTATTCATTCGATGACTTCTTTTAAAGACCATCAACAACATTGTTTCGGCTTCTGTGTATATTTCTCTCCCTGTATATTCCCATCGAGAATCTCTTGAATTGTTTTTAAACGATGGTCTGAAGTCTGGAAAGTGATTTGCCATAACGTGGGCATCGCCCTCTCCCACTCCGACTCCCTCAATCTCTCTCTAGTCGTAAAAAAGCGACAACAAAGGAGTTGAGAACTGTGGCATAAATTCGAGGCTCTCGGGGGCTGGAGGCTCTTGCTAAACTGATTTTTATATCAGCCAAAGCCAAACACGAAACGGCGAATGTTCTACGCTCTATGGAATACACAAACAATAGTGCGTAAAGATGGGCAAATTGTCTATTTAGAGCAAACAAAAAAAAAAAAGAAAAAAGGGATACTACACCAAGGTCAGGTCCCTGCCGGCCTTCTTGTTGCTCTTTTCTTTGCGTGTCTGCTGTGTCCATGTCTCTGTCTTGTCCTTTGTCCTCTCAGCTTAGTCCCGAGCTCAACGAAGCTCAACATTTTATAGACCGATAGACAGAGAGACTCTGAATAATTTATGCGCCATAAAAATGAAATCGAATTGCAGGCCGTGCCGAGGCGAGGCGAGGCGTTGGCTCTTCTCGGAAAAGAGAGTCATCAAGTGGCAATTTATGGTCGAGTTGACCGCTTCACTGGCCAAAGGAGCCTCTACCTTTACCTGTTTTCGTATCTGTATCTAAACATATGTGTCAGCTAAAACAAAAAACACTTGACGTTCATTTTATGCAAATTAAACAGCAGCAGCAGGCCATGGCCCACAAAAGTTCCAACATAAATTTGCCTAAAATGCTGAAAAATAAATTAAATTAAATGAAGTTGAAAACTGCGACAAAGCGATGTTGCCCCAACCCCAACTCCGCCATAAATTGTCCTTGTTTTAGAGGGTGTCAGAGACCGAAAAATATTTGTTTATGGCGCAAAAGGGGCAGTCGAGAAATTGTTACATAAAATATCTGTGGTACCCGCTGGAAATTGCAATGAAAATATTTGTGCTGCACGGACAATTTTTTGGTGGGGGTAATCAAATTAAGGTGGCAACTTTGGCTCTAGCAATATGCAACTATCCGATACTTATTAGAAAAGTTTTGCCAGAGCTGCAACAAAGAGGGAGAGAGAGAGAGAAGGTAGGGTTTTGGGACAAACTGCCGGAAAATCCGTTATTCCACGGTTTTGATTGAAATTGAAACGCAGCAGAAGGAGCGAGGGGTAGAGTCGGAGAGGGTGTGTCATGGGAATATAGGAATTTAATTGAAAGATAGTTCTTCGATATGAAATTGCTTAGAAATCCTCGCACGAAGCGACGTGATCTCGTTTCCCAATGCATTTTGATGTTGGCTCCTGGCTGCTGCTCCTGCTGGCTCCTGTCATTGTCTTCGCGGTGTCTCGCCGCAGTCGAAGGCGAGAGAGATAGAGAGAGGGAGAGAGAGAGAGTGGTGTGACGTGACTTGAACTCGAACGTGC